CCCCCCCCCCCCCCCCGCGCGTTTTGCCGACCAGAAGAAGGGCGGAGGGAGCACCGGCCGCGAAGAAGCCACGCCCTTCCCTTTAAGCCCGCCCCTCTCCTTTTGGCAGCGGGGCTCGGAGAGCTCACGACCGAGTCTCGCGGCCGAGCTAGCATCGCCGTTTCAGCGGGGGCGCGCGGGCTTGCGCTCGCCTAAATGCCTCTCCTCTCCTAGAAACGGCCCCGACGACGACGCTGGGGAGATGCTCTCCGCAGCCCACCAGTTGCTCCGAGGCTGCAAAGGGGGATGGCAAGCCCCAACTCGGATTCCGATGCTTCCGGGCCCTGCTTTTGCCGGCGGAGGGCGAAGACCAGGCGGCTGCGTTCCCCAAAGGGTCCGGTTGCAGGTGAGTTCCCGCCTAGAAACTTGTCCTCCTGGGAGCGATGGCGGATTGCGTTGCTCTCCTCTCCTGTCCCGGGTTCAGGCCTCAGGAAAGAGACTTTTTGGCGCGCGCTTCCCGCCGGGCAAGGCAGAGCTGGGCGGGCGGCGAGGCAGGCGCGTAGCTTTAACTTCTCTGGCGTTGCTCGACGAGCGTTGGAACTTGAGCCGCTCTCTGGAGACGCTGGGGCAGGAATAGGAAGGATCAAGTTGGAGTTGGCTTGGGGGGGATGGCGTGGAGGAAGCGAGCCTCCTGTCTCTTTCCCCGCCCCAGCCCAGCCCAGCCCAGCCCGTCTGTTTTCTCAAGATTTCGCGAGTGCGATGATCATTATTTCTCACTGGAGGAGAAGACGGTCCTGACGCGGAGGAAGGAAGAAGGGCCCCTGGGCTGCTGTTCTCTGTTCTTGCAAATCCTCCGCTAACCTTTGGGATCCCTTCGCTGATACCTGAGTGTTCAAGAAAAAGCTTCCTGCCGTCCCCTTCACACGGAGAGACTCTAAACGGCCCCAGTATTCCCCCGCAAAACAAAATCCTGTGATTACGTTAAAGTTTTCCTTTCTTTTTAAAGTCAACCTGCTGTGATTCAAGTGAGTTTATTCATACAGTGCAGATCTCAAGTATATTTTCACAGAATCAGATCACGTTATTCCTGTTAGATGTTTTGGGCTGTAGTCCTAGATTATGGCTTCACTAGTGATTTGTAGCCCATTCTAGAGTTATTCAACCCTTGTTATGTTGAGCTACCAGTAATAAGGACAGCTTGAATGATCTCCAGGTGATGCTCTAAGTTGTGATAAATCGTTACCGTCACGGAGAAATGAGCTTTATTCTCCCAACGCTCCGAATTGCAATTTAGGCAGGCATATTTTAGTCTAAGTTATTGTATATTCAGCTCATGTGGTTGGTAAACTCAGAAAATTAGATTAATTCCATAAACTATGGTGTGTAAACTGTGGGTCGGTGTGTTGTGTAGAGATAGGCCTTGGTGGATTTTGTTCATTACTGATTAAAAATGTAGAAATAGATACGTATGTATGTCAGCCCATATTTGTTTTGCTCAAACAGTAGTGGAGTTTCAAACTGTAGGCATTCATCATGCAGTAATCTGTGCCTTCTGCTAAAACTAAAATAATTCATGGTTTTAGGGCAACTTCTTTCTATTAACGTACTTACAGTGGGGAAAAATTCAATAGGATATTCTTTTTGCAACAATCTGAATAATGAAGGAATGTAGAAGTATATTACATTTGACTATCGCTTTAATCTGTAGTTCTGCCTATTCTTCTAAAAGATCTCCTTGTTCATTAGGCTCCAGAACAATTAGAAATCCTATGACAAGTACTAGAAGGGGCCAATTACTTCACTTGAAGAACACTGTGATCAAAGGAAAAAGAGGAAAATCAGAACAAAATGCTTTAACAATAAGAGTACTAATGAACCACTATCCAAATTAACATTTTCCAGCACAATGTTACATGCTTTTGAAACCCAGCTGCTTATGAACTCATCGGAATTTTACTTGGCAACAATTTTATAGATAGATCTTGTCATACAGGCTAATAGGAATTCTCTCTTTGTGAGTCTCTTGGCATTTTAGGAACAAATGTGTTTGGCAGAAATTACTGCATTGTTTGGGAAAAATAGATGTGAAAGCAGCATCAAAACCTCTTTAGCTTAAAATATCTACCCACAGTATTGCTTTGGAAATTAAAAGAAAAAAATGCATGAACATGAATCCCGTAAATGACATTTTATAAATTCAAATGTGTGGAGCTCCTAGTGAGTCCTTCTAGCTATTACAGAAGGCTTTTAGCTAATATAAAAAGATTAATCTTTTTAACATTAATCCTAGATCTTATATATCCAGCATTCTTGGGATACATTATTACGTGATAGGAAGTGGAACCTGTTGTAACAGTTTATCATCCATGTAAGTTTCTACTTCATTTTCTGTTACAGGTAGTCCTTGCTTAATGACCACAGTAGGGACCAGAAAATTGGTCATTAAGCAAGTCACCATGTGACTGGACCCAATTTTACATCCTTTTTTATGACGGCCACCACAGTCATTAAGTGAATCATGTGGTTGTTAAGCAAATCACATGGTCATTAAGCAAATCCAGCTTCCCCAGTGGATGTTTTTTGCTGGAATTTGCTTAACCGGGTGATTCGCTTAACCGGGTGATTCACTTAACAACCATCGTAAAAAGGTTGCAAATTGCAATCACATGATCACGGGGGGGTCCGACAATTTGGAACAGTTGTAAGTGCGAGTACAGGTCACAAAGCACTTTCTGAGGCCGTTGTAGCTTTGAACTGTCATTAAACAGTCGTTAAGTGAGGACTACTTGTAGTATAAGTAGTTCAGTAATCATTTAAGAGTAAAATGGGATGGGCAGACTTTATGATTGTCCAGTTGGCTTTTAGTTTTATTACCCAAGGCCCCCAGACCTCCTTTTTGCAATCCTCAAAACTCCCTTTGACCATAGTTGCTGAAAATAGACAGCAGATTTTTTTCCCAGTTTAAGATGGGAAATGTGTGAGAATTTGTTTTGACTATCAGAACTAAATGGTAGCCAAAACACTTTTGCACATAAATCAGATCTTCCAGTTATTGTCTTTTGGATAGTATCATTTGGGGAGGGAAGTTATTTGTTATTTCAATATTTAAATTACTGGGAGACACAAATTCATGACAATCTACTGCAGATAAGACAGAGACCAGAATTACCTTCTTCCCATTCCTGAGTTAAAGCTCATAGGTCAGTGATCAGCAATATAGCACCAGTACTGACAGATCTCCAAAATTACTATTATGTTCTTGTGTGAGCTCATGTGAAATTTCAGGGAAGACCCTTGTAAGGGTTCAGGCAATTTCTAAAAATTGAAAAAGGGAGAGCACACTTGTACCGATGCCTGGAAAGCTTGCTGACTCCTTATATAGATAAATGAATCACAGATAGTGCTGTGTTCACACAATGGACTAAGCCACTGTTTTAACCATGGTTTCTTAAATAAAACAGGGTTTGGTTGACACATAATTAAGCCACACACTATGATTTACAACCACAGAGGCTGGGTTCTCATGTACTCTTTAAACATCTGTTTCAACTGGCATTGAAAATGCGGTTCATAAATATTAAAAGAATTCCGATCCAATACATTTTTATTGTCTAGCTTTATTCCATTTGAAGCCCTCTGGGATGGCTATTGTCTTGTAAAATAGATTTTTTTTGCAGTAGATTGGGCTGCATCCAGGTGCTTAATACTGGCTGTTGTGCTGATGTGGTAATATGCAGATCTGCAACATGCGAAGAAGAAAATTGTGCTTGTTTTTTTGATTCTGTAGCTAAAACATAAACTTGACGTTGTGAGTTCTTAAATCACTAGAGAATATCCCTAACAGCTACTGTAACCCTATAAAACCGAAGAAACCCATGTTGGTCCATGGAAAAAGTTTTGAAACATTTCTCATAATAATATAGGCAATATACCCTTCTAGCCTAATACAAACTTAGCCCCCCCTTTTTCTAATTGTGCTAGATTTCAGATGTTTCAGGGTGCAGATACTGAACTGGAAAGTGCCTTGGCTAAAGCATGATGTTTACCGGGTCTAAGCTATATATTTTTTTCATCTTTACACTTTTCTCACAAGTGTATATAAACATGAATTTTCATGTTGTTTTTGAAGCAAGGTACGTGTACAGATGTATTTACAACACTATGTTTCAAGAATGATACAGATTCAAGCATTCTGGAACCAATAAGCAGAAATCTGTAAAACGCGGATAATCAGATTTACGAAGAGTCAATCTGAATTCCTCTCCTGTGTGACACGTTACAGAAATGATTGTATGCTATTACTTTGTGAAATTTCTTTAAATTTATTTTTCTACTCAATAGCTCACCACACATCATCTCTTCTGTTTAACAATACTCTTGCTTTTGTTTAAAAAGAAATGCAGTTAAACAGGTTTTGGTATCTTCAGAAATATTCTTTGCCACATTTAAATAGGGATTAAATGAAAATGTTTCTAGCCATACCAAAAAAGGTGTGTCAGGTTTTTCTTTCAGAGTCAGACTCAATTCCCAATTGTTAGATAACTGCAGACCATGTTAAACAGTTCTTGCAACTGCTGCTTATTTTGAAGTGACTGTACACCCTTAGTAGTAACGATGTAGTGATGCATTTAGGACTTCTGCAGAAATCTAACCCTAGTTCAGTTCTTGGATACTTTGCTACTTTATATGTTAGGTCAATCACGATTTCTAATTTAATATAGATCTTGTCTTTGAAGGAGGAAAACAGTAATGGGTTCCTGATTATGGCTGTGTTTGATGTGTTAAACCTTAGAAGGCTGGTTAGCAAGTATGTGTGCATTACCATTTTAACACATCACATGATAAATCTTATTTATCTGTTAGATGACATTGTAAACTTAAGAATCATTTTAAAAAGATGTGAAGAATGGGTGCCCGTGTGCCACATTCACTCATTGGTCTTGTTTGGCTATCCACGTTGTGCAAACTCAGCCTGTGAAGAAGCAATATCAGTTTGTTACCTTAAACCATAAGGTATTAGGCAAATCCATGAAGTACTGGGATATGAAATCCTGATGCATTACCATTCATTTGCATAGGAAGATTTTAGGTTGCATTGGTTCTCCCTTCTTTCAAGCCCATCACATAGAGGAGTAGCAAAGGGGGTAGTAGGATTGGCAAAGAAAGCATGGGGAATGCTGCCTTTCAGAGGTGCTGAGCTATAACATTCCAACATCTTTCACTATTGCCAATGCTGAGTCAAGCTGCTAGAAGAGCACATTGATAACTGCAGTGTGCTCTTCATGGGGCTGCCTTGGAAGACTACCAGATGCTGTAGTTGTAAAATTCAGCAGTCCACCTTGGGTGGCACGTACGAGCCACAACATGCACTTAATACCAGGCCTGTAGGTCTGCAGTGGCTACCAG